GTTTGCTGTGGGGTGTTGGGGGCCTTTGTGTCCACTGACTGCACCCCCCCATGGCCCTCGACGGCTCCCAGACACTCCTGGTCCAGCAACCAAGAGGGCAGCTGGGCCGCCGCCCCCACACCCACGCTGTCACCCCAGGAACATGGGCAGGCCCCAGGCAGCCTCCGGGCAGCAGCAGCCAGCTTGCGGCCCTGCCAGCGACATGAAAGCCGCGGCTTCCGCGCTGCTCCCCCCGGGAGGCGGGAGGCGGGAGGCTTCCTTCCCCGAGCCCTGCCAGCTCTGATCTCGGGCAGGGCCGCACCCCGGGGAGGCCCCGCGCGCCAGGGCCCGAGCTGACGGATGAAAGGAGGCGGCTGCTGGTAGCTGGGGGCCGAGTGTCACCGAAATGAGGCCGAGTGGGCGGGACAGCACCCAGGGCTCCTAATGGGGGGGGTTGGTCCCCTCCCAAAGCACCTTCCCAATCCAGTGCATCAACAGGCTGCCGGGAGGGGGGCAGGCGGGGTGTGGAGAGCACCCAACACCTTCGGGCTCCTGGGCTGAGGGGGGCAGGCATGGCTCCCCTGACCCTGACTCCGTTCCTGGTGAGTGGCCAGCTCTGCCTGGTCTTGTCCCATCTCCCCAGGACCCGCAGCCCCAGCTCAGACCTCGCAGGCCTGCGGGCCACTTAACAAGGGCTGGCCTCTGTTAGTAATTAAAATATCTGAGGCGGCTTTGAAGAGGAAACCATTAGGCCCGGCCGGGGAGGCCCCAGGCTGCCCTCCCCTTGAGGACAGGACATTCCTCCTGCTCTGGAGGCGGCCCAGCAGGCGCTGGGTCAACACTCCTCACCCTGCAGGAGCGGCCGCAGGGGGGCCGCAGGGGCAGCCAGCGGGGGCCCGGCTGGGAAGGCAGGCAGGGAGCAGGCAGCAGGGGCCTCCAAGGCAGCAGGCCACTTGCAGGGAGGGCCCTGACCCTTGACCTCAGGACCTGCCCCAGCTGCGCTGCCTGTGGACCCTGTCCACCCAGGCCCAGGGCAGGGAGCTCTGCAGCCAAAGGGCCGGTCCCCTGGGGCAGCAGCGGAGGAGGCAGGAAGCAAGCACAAGGCCAAACTTTAGAGGCTCTGCACCCCCCCACCCCCGTCCCGGGCCTGCAGAGCGGCCCCAGAGTCCACCCCAGCCCGGGCCAGGGGCCAGTACCTGAAAGAGGGTCAGCGTGTGGTCCTCCAGGATGGTCTTTGGAGGAGTGATGACTGGGGAGAGAATGTCTTCGTGAGGAAGGCCTCGCCCCACCCCTCACCCCTCACCCCTCACCTACCGCCCGTTCCCCAGGGACGACTGGTCCAGTCGGAGGGCTGGCAGCCTCAGCTGGGGCTATTCTAGAAGAACCCTCCGTCCACAGCCCTCTGCCCACTTCTCTGCTGCAGCAAAAACCCTGGTGAGGGCCTTGGGTGGGGGGAGTGACCCGGGCAGCCCCTGCCAGGACCCCAGCCCTCAGCGCCCCGTCCACACAGCTCCGGCTGCTGGCAGCAGAGGACTGTGTCCCTGTGGGGAGGGCAGCAGGGAGCGCGCAGGGCAGGCCTGACCAGTACTCACACAGGTGGAAGGGCAGTGCGGGGTTCCCCAGGTGGCTCCTCACAAAGTCCTGCAGGTCCCCCACTGAGAAGGAAGGGGCGGGTGAGCGGGCCCCCAGCAGATGCACCCCGATGCTGGCCCCAGTGGGATTGGACAGGTTGGCTGCACCAAAGCTGCCCCCCACCCTGGGCAGCCGCCTCCTGGGCCTTGGCACTCAGGACACCGATCCGAGCCCGGGGCTGGGAAGTCCACCTCGTTCCTTCCACAGGACCCAGACACTCAGCGGGCCCGGAGCAGGGCCACTCCCGGCTCCCACTCTGCAAACGGCCTCCCTCCACCTGCCGAGCTGCCCCAGGCCCGAGGCCCGCTGTGGGGGTGGGGAGCTCTGGGTGGCCCTCTGTCCAGAACGAACGGGTGCAGGGGCCAGGCACCGCTAGGCCAGCCCGACAATCACCCAACACGCTCTGCAAGCTCAGAGCCCACTGCCTGTAGCCCCCAAACCCCCGCCTCCCCGAGCCCAGGGCCCGGCAGCCACAGGCCCACAGCCTGGAGGGAGCCGTCCTGGACGCCGGGTGCGGCCCTACCTGTCTCGCTGGGGCGGAAGAAGCCCTGCAGGATATAGCGGTCAGGGAACAGCACCCTCAGGACTACCTGGTCGGACAAGCGTGCTGTCAGGACAGCCGGGGGCCTGCCGCAGGGAGGACCCCTCCCGGGGCCAGACAGGCGGAGGTGCCGGCCGCCCCTGCGGGTGCTGCCCCGCACCGTGCACATGGACTTCTGTTTTCATCACAAAGCCAGGCCGAGGCGGGGCGAGCTCCGGGAGCTCAGGGGAGCACGCTCAGCAGCCTGTGCACGGGGGTCACAGAGCCCCGCCCGCACCTTCGGGTATCGCTCCAGCTTCTCCTTCCTCTGAGCCTCCCTGAAGGCCTTGGTCACTAAGGGGGCCTCTTCCAGGCGCTTCCTGTGGAAGGAAGGGGGCGGGTGAAGGCCCCGGTCTCCCGCCAGAGAGGAGGCCCACCCGGGCTGGACAGACAGGCCCCCTCCAGGTGCGGCCACGCATGGAGCTGGGGACCAGCGGTGGGAAGCGGGGAGACCGAGGGGGCGGGCACACCCACCGCTCACTCTTGAGCTGGGCCAAGCGTCTCCTCACGTCGTCCACCGTGACCTCGAAGAACTCGTCGGGCAGCTCGGCGGGCCAGGCCTGGAGCAGCTCCCCCAGGTCAGGATGGCACACCACGGGCTCCCGGTCCACCGGCTGCCGGGCAGACACGTGGCTGACGCAGGTCCCAGGTGCCCGGCCACGGGGGCTGGGGCACCCAGGCCCTGCAGCTGGAGCAGCTGTGCACCCCCGTCAAACCCAGGCCCCCCACCAGCCCGTGGCCAGGCCAGGCCTCAGGGTGGGGGGTGGGACTGTCCCTCCCTTCCAGGCTCGGTCTCTGCCGGGGCCCAGGCGGTGGGTGAGGGGCGCTCTGCAGGCCAGCCGCCCCACAGCCCCTTGCTCACTTCCTGGGGAGCAGTGCCCCGGTCCAGGCCACGTCAGGGGCTCCAAGGGAGGAGCAGGGGAAGCGGCAGCCCCCAAATTAGAGGTTTGGCGAAAACCTGCAGCCGCTGGCCCCACAGCCGGGCTGACCCCCACCCCTCCCCAGGGGAGCAGCCTGGCTGCGTCTGCCCACCCCAGGGACACAGGAAGGGACAGCGTCGCTCCTAATTGGCAACAAGGTCGATGGAAATTACAAGGCAGGGCTGCTCTGCGTGTGGCGCCTCCGGGTGGGTAATTGCAGCAAGCGTGGGGGGCACCTCGGGGCGCGGAGGCCGCCAGGCGCTGCCCTGACGGAGATGTCCAGCAGGTCCAGTCCTCCTCCCACAGAAGGGCCCACAGCCATCTCGGCAGGGCCGCCCAGAAGCTGCCCTCTGCCCTGCCGCCCCCACTGCCCCCCCAGCATGGCGTCCCACCTCCTGTTTCTCACCCGGGACCAGGGTGGGCTTGGCAGGTCTTGGAACAGCCTGTCCGATCGTCCCTCCCACAGCCTTCCCGTCGCCCAGCCTGGCCACACCCCTGGGCACAGCCAGACCCCAGACCTCAGCGTTGGGGTAGCTGCTGCCTCGGTGCACCTGCCAGGAGCCTCCGGGCCACCCTCGCCGCAGCGCAGGCGCCTGCACTCCGGGGCCCCTGGGTCCCCAAGCGCTCTCCCTGGGAAGGGAGCGGGCTGCTAGGGAGCCCCTCTGCCCCGAGTGCCGTGGCGAGCGGCCAGGAAGGGCAGCGAGGCCTGGGCAGCAGAGCCCGGAGGTGGCTGGCCAAGGCTCCTGGGAGCTGCCCCTTCAAAGCCACAGCCTTCCTGCAGCCGCCGTGGGCCGTCGACGCCAGAGCTTTTTATAACAAGATGCCAGGCGCCGGCTGCCCCCCACGGCCACGGCGCCTGCATTCCAGAGGGGCCGGGCGCGTGCCACTCCCGGGGGAGGGCGAGGGCAGGACGCGGATGCCATGCGCCAAACCGCCGTGTGCACGAGCCAGGCGGCCCCAGCAGAAGCCCCTGGCACAGCGTCCCCCTGAGCACAGCAACGGGGTGACAGGCCCAGGCAGGAAGCTGAGCTGGCCCTGCAGGTGGGTCCCCAACCCAGCACCCCCGGGAGCCGGCCCAGGGAGCACATGGCGCCAGGCCTGCTCCTGCCGCCGCTCAGCCCCGTCGGGCTCCGTGTGCCTGCTGTCCCCGCGCCGGCTTCCCGCACGGTTCCCCGCTGAGGTGCACGGACGGAGGTGTCTGGATGGAGAACGAGGTTCAGGCTGAGGCTTCGTGGGAAAAGGACCCCCCGGGGCAGCCGTGGGGAGAGCTACAGCCGTCCTGGCCCTGGGAGAGGTTCCCGGTGCTGAGGGCCAGGCCTGGGGTCAGGGCAGGGCCACGATGAGCCCACAGCTGCTGCGCGGCCAGGGCCAGGGCACGGGCTCCGAACGATGGAGCCCAGAACCTTCGGGAAGTCCTGCCGCCAACCTCCACGCCTGAACCCGCAGGTCACTCCACGGCTCAGGGGGCGCCTCCTTTGAGACCTGACTCGCCTCATCGGTGGACTAGATGACCGTGGCCAGGGGCCCAGGAGGCCAGGAGGAGGGACAGGAGTGCCCTCCTCGGCCCGGCGACAGGCCAGCGCTGGACAATGGGACTGACCCCAGGCCATATGGAGGTGGGGGCTGGGTGACCATCTGCCAGCTGAGGGCGGCCCCAGCACCTTCAGAGAGTCCCTGCCCCACAGAACAGGCCTGGAGGGGACCTGGAGGGAGCGAGGAGGACGGCACTGGCCGCCGGGCCCCACACCATGCTCAGTGCGACCACACGCCCGACCGGGCCAGACGACGAGGGACCAGGGAGCCGGCGCCTGGCCGAGACGGGGCTGCTGGCCTCCGGGCCGGTGAACTCACTCCAGCAGCCGCCACACAAGTAGAACCACTGGGCACAGGGGCCTCAGGGCAAAGGCCTCCCTGCCCACGGAGGCTTCCTTTTCTGACAGTAACTTTCCAGGACGTGGTGACACCCAGAGAAAAAATGCAGCAGCTCCACGGGGTGACCGCGGCCCAGATTCCCTCCTCATGGGGCTCCCCCTCCCTCGCAGCCAGACTGCCCTCTGACAAGGGGCTGGGCCGGAGGGATGCGAAGCGCTTCCCCTTGAGGCTGGGAGCTGAGCTGAGTCACTACTCCAGGGACAAGGCCACACCCCTGAGTTACTCCCAGCCAGCCGCCCCGGAAGGCACGGGAGGACCCCCAATCCTGGGCAGGTGGGCGGGCGGACAGGGTTGAAGCCCTGGCCCTCGGCCCTGGCAGCACTGGGCCTGCTGACCCTTTTGAGCAAAAAAAGCAGAGTTTTCTAAAGAGAAGCGTACAGCCAGGCCCAGGCGGCTCAGGGCTGAGTGTCGCCCTGGGACCCAGGAGGTCAGGGTTCGATCCCGTCAGGGCACACCTCAGGTGGCGGCTCCATCCCCAGTGGGGGGGCGTGCAGAAGGCAGCTGGTCCATGATGCTCGCTCATCATGGATGTTTCCATCTCTCTCCCTCTCCCTTCCTCTCTTTGAAAACAACAAAAACTTTTTTTTTTAAAAAAGAATACAGGCAGCTAAAGGGTGGGCGGTGGGTGACACCCCGTGCGGTGAAGCTGAGCGCTCCCACGTGCTGTCCACGAGTCGCTGTGGACAGATGAGGGGAAGGAACCCCGGGAGCAGAGGCAGGGTCTCCTCACCCACAGGCAACAGCTGCCCGGGAGCCGGGACAGCACAGCCCGAGGGGCGGGCACGCACCCCAGACCAAAGGGCACAAGCCATGCCAATCAGGACGGGGCCTCACGCCAGGACCCCCCCCCCCGCCCCCTGTAGGAAGCGGGCCTGTGTGGGCAGCTCAGGGCTCCAGGGCACCACACAGCCCGTTCTCCGCCCGGCTGGCAGGCTGGCGTCTCTCCCCACGTCCAGGCTCCGTGGAGGCAGCAGGACAGGGCTGGAGGCTTCCACACCTGCGGCCCTACCTGCCAGCACGCCTGGGGCCGGGCGGGGCCGGAGCTCGGCACCCACACTCGCAGCCCCACAGGGACAGGCCGGGCGGCTGGCCCCTGGGGGAACGGCCTGGGCAAGGGCCCCGCCCGAACGAGAGGAGGACAGTAGCGAGGGGACCACTCTCTATACGACTGGGCTCCTCCCAGGGAGCGGGCGGCCAGAGGCAAGGCCGACGTGGCCCCGAGACGGGTGCGGAGGAAGTGCCCGGGTCTGGGCGGGGGAGACCACCCCCTGGAGGGTGACGGGCGCAGGGGGACCACTGTCAGCCCGTCGCCCGGGGAGCAGGACTTTGATCAGGCTCCCGTGCCAGCTGTGGGCGCCCGCTGGGATGCTGCCCCATGCGGAGCTGAGGGGCGGCCCCCGGGCTGGGGAAGGACTTCAAAGGACAGGCCAGGGGCCGCCAGGCAGCCCGCCTCCCGCCCGTCCCAATGGCCAGTTAAACTACCTTCTAATAATTAATGTTCCAACATCAAAGGCAGGAGCCGCCCGGGTCTGTAAACCATCCCAGCCTCGCGAGGACCTGCCTCTATTTCATCCTGTCTCTTTTGACTCTTTATTTAAATTCAAAAACCACACGAGGCTGAGCATTAATGGGAAACTCGGGAGCTTTCTCATCCCTGAAATGCACCTTTGAAGTTCCCCCAAAAGTTCTGTTTTGTTCCTCCCCCTCCCCCAACACTGAAAGGGACACAAAGCAGACACCATGTGGCTGGCTGGCCCCTGGGTGTGCGGCTGTCAGTGACGGGAGGCACGAGGCGGGCGGGGACGCCCCACCAACCAGCTGCTGGGGCTCCCAGATCAAAGGCAGCGCTGCTGGCGGCCAGGCGGCCCCCCTGCCCGGGGCCGGGGTCAGTGCTGGGGGTGCAGGGATCCTGGGCCCTGACAGCACCCCCTGCGGGGAGCACAAGCCCACGCCACCCTGGGTGCCCCTGGGACAGTCAGCAGGTTCCCAAGAGACACAGACAGCCAGGCCCCCCTCCATGCAGCCCCAGAGGGAGGCAGCCAGTCCTGGCCCCCCAACGCAGGGTTCCCCCGGAAGTGCAGACCCCCAGCACGGGCTCAACCCACCACATGGGCCTGCTTTCGGCCACCGATTCTGGCTGGGGATGTGCACTGGCTTCTAACTCAGCCCAAACATCAGCCACTGCCCCCCAGGATAAACATTCACGGAGCTCAGGACGGCCTTGGCCCTGCCCCTCCCTGTCCACTCAGCAGGAGACACCACGGGCGGTAGGGGAGCCGGAGGGAATCTGGCTGCCGCCTCCTCTGCAGGACCCCCCCAGGCTCCCCAGGTGTGACCTGGAGGCAGGAGTGAGGGGCTCCAGAGGAGACGGGGCGGGGCCTCCAGCCCACGGCCTCCACAGCCTGCTTCACTCAGGACACAAAGACTCGGAGCTGAAACTGGGCTGAACCGGACCCACGTGTGGTGACAAGGAAGCTCTCACCGAACAGGCACAGACCCTGGAACGCAAGGCGGTCCCTGGCCCCACGGACCGACCGCACCTCACCACGTGGCTGCACTGGGAGGACAGACAATTGTTTCCACGTAGAAAAGCAGTTGCTAAAGCTCAACACCTACTTATGATAAAAAAAAAGTTTCTCAGAAAATTAGGCATAGAAACTGTTAACTGGGTAAAAGCTCCCACAGCTCACGTAACACTTCAGGTACACGAGGGTCACCCTCCAGGTCAGGCAAGGTGCTTTCCAACAAACACCGAGAACAAGGAGAGTGAAGACCAGGATATGAAGGAGACGAAACTGACAGTATCTGCGGAGCCACGGCCGACAGGCACCACGCTCCTGGGAGTGACGGGGCAGCGCGCGGGTGCAGACCAGCGCATCGCATACGCCGGCACGCGGGCGCCCGAACCAGCCCTCCCGCAGCGGCTCTCCGCCTGGAAAGGGGTCTGGAAAGGAATCCTCCTCCTCATCTGAAGCCCCGCGTGGGCCTTGTACGAGCCGATGCAGGTGCAGGGGAGCCGCTCTGCGTGGAAGCAAAGGGCCCGGGAAGCTGGGAGCTGAGCCCTGAGCACAGATGCAGCAGCAGCATCTCAGGGCGCCGCCCACTCACAGGGCACAGCTTCCACGACACGGGACGGAGGGTGGGGTGCGCGGCGCAGCCCAGGCTGGAGAGCCAGGCTGGTCCCAGGGCAAGGTCTCCCCTTTGGTGTTCCCAGTACTGAGAGTCAGCCGGACTTTGGGTGGACAACCACGGAGGCGGGGGAGCCTGGGGCTGCCCAGGAGGTGAAGCAGCAGCCGGGCAGAGGGGCCCACACGCACAGCCTCTGGGCCGACGCTGCCTGTCCCGTGGACGCCGCTGTGTGATGCAGGAACACCGCTGGAGAAGGTTCCAGAGCGCTCCGAGAAGTCCAGCGCTGCCACCCGGGAGGACCGACCTGATAGGGGCCCGAGCCCATCTTCCCTCCCGGAGTGCCCAGGTGGCTGCAGCTGCCAGGGCGAGGCCTGGGCCAGGCGGTCTGACCGGGAGGACCTGTGCCTGCCTGCTCAGCAGGACCAGAATGTGAGCCTCCCACCGCTCAGGTCGGGGTGTGGTCAGGGGAGCTGGGGGTGGGCGTCCGAAGGGGCGGGTGGGACTCGAAGGAAGTGGGTGACGCGTGAGTCAAAGGCGCGCAGAGACTGGTCAGCACCAAGGAGGCAAAGTGCCGCTCACAGAACTGGCCGCAGCCGTGTCCATGCAGCAAACTGTACCCCAAAGCTGATCGGACGGGAGGGCCGCACCGAGGCACTGGCTGCAGACAGCACCGCGAGCTCGGCCTCTGCGTCCCGGGCCTGCCTACTGCAGGGCGGACAGCCAGCGGGGCAGCCAAGGCCCAAGCCTCCGGCACGTCAACACCGCCGACCGGCAGAGGCACCGCCCGGGACAGGAGTGTTCTGAGTCCCACACCCAGGCCGAGGGCCACAGCGGAGGCAGGGGCCACGGGGCACACGAGTTTGTCGAAACCTATCAAACCACATTAAAAGGTGCCTCGATGCAGCCAATTTAAGACAAACCAAACCAAAGGTCACTTCCGTGAGGGGAAACGCCCCCAGCTGACCGGCGGAGGGCCAGTGCGGGTGGAGGAAGGACCCAGCGCCCAGCTCACCGCTTACCGGCTCCGGCTCCGGCGGGGGCCTCGACTTCTTTGGCTTGGAGGGGCCTCCGGGGCTGGAGAAGGACTTGGGCAGCTTGGCGGACGGTGACATCAGACACCTCGCAGACCCGCCGGGGCCCCCGAGGCGCTGCCCCCCTCCCGAGAAAGGCACGAAGGGGGTGGGCTTGGGCTCCTCCGAGATCTGCTGCGCCTGGGCGTCCGCGGGCTTCGGGCCCGGGCCATCTGCGCGGCCGGCCCCCGAGGTGCCTGCTTCCTCCTGGCGGCTCACGTCGCCCCGGCTGAGCCCTGCGAAGTCCACGGGAAGAAGCGGGCTCCCGCCTGCTGCTCGCCGACAGGGAGGGGGTCGGGCTTGCTGGGCTTTTGCTCCGGGAGACCCCCGGGCTCCCTGCGTGTGGCCGGGTCGCATCGCCTCATGGCAAACCTGGGGCCGAGAGAGAGGGGGACGCTCCACACCCGGTCTCAGCACCCGGGCCTCACGCCCCCCCCCCCAGTGGCCTCGGATCGAGGGGGCACCACTTTTCCATGCTCCCGCTCCTCTCCTCTGAGACCCCATTTCTTTCCCGACACAAGACTCAGAGCCCCACCTGATGATGGCGCTGCCCCCGGTGAGGCCCAGGGACAGCAGCGTCGTGCTCTGCAAGGCGGCTCTGCCCGTCACCTGCAAGGAGACAGGACCGTGTGCCCGCCGCCCGCCGCCCTCCCTGCCAGAGCTCCCGCCGGGCCTGGCCGAGGCTTCACGCTGCCCAGGGGAGGCACTGAGGCCCTGCCCACTGCTAACCGACCTACCCAGCCGCCCGGCCAGGCCACGGACACCGCGGTGCCCAGCCGCCCACACCCCAACCTGCACCCAAGCATCTGCTCCAGGGTCAGGGTCTGTCCCCAGCCCAACACCCCGAGGCCCGGGCAGGCGGGCTCAGGCCTGGGTGAGCAGCACTGGCCACATGACCAGCCCTGAGGGCTGCACCGACCACCACGGCCCTCAGTTGGGCCCAGGTGTCCACCCCCAGGTCCCTCCCGCTCACAGCCCCGGAACCCCGTCCTCACGGGCGTGCTTCACCCACCAAGGCCTCCTGGGCCCTCGGGGACAGTGGCCACCCCAGGCCAGGAAAGGGCACTCAGCCAGGATCCAACAAAAGCCCCTGTGAGCCAGGGCACGAGCGCCAGGAGGGTCCTGTCATGGCGGGCGGGGGACGGGCGGGGCCTCTGCCAGCTGGGCCCGCACCGCCCTGCGCTCGTTTTGAAAAAGATCAAAACGGAGCAAAGCAAATATTTATTAAAATGAAACCACTTTTGTGACTCTCGGGCTTTGAGAGAAGCTGAGAAAACAAACAGGGCGTGGGGAGGTTCTGGGCGCAGCCGGCCGCGGTTAGTTCCGGGGAACACAGGGGCTTTCAGAGCGCCTCCCGCTGCTTGCAAGGCGGGGGGGGGGGGGGGGGGTTTCCAGACTGGAAAGCGGGCTGGGCCGCATGGGACGGGAGCGGCGAGCCGGCCAGGCCAGGCGGGGGGAGCCGCAGTCCTACCTCATCCCTCATGTACACGCAGACCGGGCTGGCCTCCCACGGCTGCTCCAGACACGCCCTGCAGGAGAGGGAAGGACATCAGAGGCCGGCCCTGGCGCGGGAGGGCACCCCAGAGCCACACAGAGGCTCCCCCAGGTTCTCCAGGAAGACGGCAGCAGGCACCCGCCCACACCAGACTGGCCACCAACATCCTCTCCCTCATGAGCCAGAACCCGAGATGGGACAGAGCAGCCCCAGAAGCAGAGCTGGGCGGGCTCAGAGGACGGCGGGCGTGCAGGCGCACACTCATGCGCACGCTCACGTGCACACACACACACACAGTCACACGCACCACCCAGGCCCGCAGGGCCACCAGGTCATGCACAGGCTGGAGCTGGCCACGTCCGGCTGGGGAGCTTGTGACCGCGAAGGGACGGAGGGACGTCCACTCCTGCATTTCCTGACACATAACTGCCCACTAGCCCCTCTCCTCCAGGGCGAGCCCCGAGGCTGGGCCACAGAGCAGCCGCCAGTGGTGACCTCAGGCTGTGCGGGGCCACTGTCGCAGGCCTCGGGGCCCACACGCCGTGGATGTGGGTGGGACGGAGAACATGGGCTGACCTGGGGCCAGAGCAGCAGGCCTCTAGCTGCCCGCACACGTGGACGAGACGGCACAGGCCTCTGCGGGGCTCTGGCCTGGGTTCTGCCCATTTCCCATTTGCTTTTAGCTTTTGCTCGTGTGTGGTGCCCAGGCCGAGACCCACACCCCACAGCCGGCTGTGGGGTCTCTGGGGGGATGCAGCCCTGCCCCTGCCCTGGCACCACCAGCCTCCTCGCCCCCCAAGGTCCCTGCAGGAAGTGGGAGACCCGAGCTGAGAGCCTGGACCAGAGCAACACTGGGTCAGGGCACACCCCAAGGGCCTGGGCCCCGGCCCACCCCGACCCGGTGACCCAAGCCTCGGGAAGGCACAGGCCCAAGGGCCAGAGCAAGCCTTCCCCAGGGACCCCGCGCCAGCAGGACCACAGATCACAGCGGCTGAGCTGCCTCCTGCCTGCGGAGCCTCTGACATCAAACGCCAGCCCGGCTTTGATGTGCTTCCTCAGAGGGATCGGGTTCCGAGTGGATCTGAGGGAGACGCCTGTAAACACGCGAGGGAGGGCGGCTGCAATCACTTCCAGACCTTCCCCGCCAATTAGCAGCGCTCTCCAGCCCGGGACAGGGGACCCAGGGGACATTCCAGCTCATGGGGGAGCCGCCCCTCACACACCCTGCCTAAGTCCCAAACTTTTCCAAGGGCTGAGCCGTCTCTGAGGGCCTCCCTGGGCCCCAGACCCAGCAGAACCCCGGGCGTCCTGTGGAGCGCCCGTGGGTGCCCACCTGCTGCCCCTCCCCAGACATCACCCGTGTGGGTGGGACGTGCCCGGCCAGGGTCGCCCCGTCCACGGCCGGCAAACGCGCTCCCCGTCGGGCGGGGGCAGAGGCGGTGCTGACGGCCTTACCGATGCTGTGCGCTGCCTCAGAGCACGTGTCCCCACAGGTGTGGGCCCCCCACTCGGGCCAACGCGACGGGGACACCAGGTATCTGGAGCCCCTTCTGTCCACGTCACCGGCGTGGACCTGACCAAGCTGCGGCTGGAACCACAAGAACCAACCCAAACCCACAGAGCGGGCACTTCAGGCTCAGGGGGCTCCTGCGCCATCGGGAGGCCCCTCGCCTGAGGTCCCGTCCAGAGGCCAGCGACTCCCGCCTCCCGCCTCCCGCCCACCACGAGACCACGAGACAAGGCTGCGGGAGAGGAACCAGCCCTCCCCAGGCGGCAGAGCAAGGACAGTGAGGCGGAAAGCAGGGGCATGGAGGGGCTGCCGGGAGCTGGGGGGATGCCCTGGCACCCGTCTCTGCCGCCCGCAGGGCCCTGGGATGGCACACAACCCATCTCAGGGCCACCGCAGGGGAAGCAGGCACACGCCGGCCTTCCCGGGGACACTGGGTTCGGGGTGTGCTCTTGGGGTGATGGAGCCGCGGGTGCGGCTGTGAAGTCAGGCTGGGAGCAGAGGGCCCAGGCCTCGGGGCAGATGCAACCTGGGGTGGCGGGCAAGGAGCCCTCGCCTGGAGGCCCTCCGGCAGCTGACACCCAAGAGGTAGGGAGGACTGGCCAGTCCAGGTCCAGGCAGTGCCGTCCGAGGCAGCGACCAGCCCAGGTGGGCCCCGAGCTCGCCCAGTGGCCGGCCCAAGCGGGGTCTGCTCCAGGTGAGACCTCCTACCCCAAAGAACCCAGAACACCTCGTTCTTCCTGCGGAGCACACGGTCGCAGGGAAACGTTCTGGATACACTGAGTCAAGTTCATCAAATTCCTAAAGTTAACTACCCGCGTTTTTACTCTCCTTTGATGTGGCGACCAGAAGATTCCTCACCGCCTCTGCGCACGCACATGTGGCCACGTGTGTGTCACGTGGCTAGTGAGTAGCCCCAGACTCGGGGGTCAGAGGTCAGAGCTGGACCACCAACTCCCTGATCCCTATGCAGAGGACGTGGCCCGGTGCCCACTCACCCCATGGCTCTGCCGAGACCCGCCCGCCACCTGTCCTGGGGCGCCTGCCTCTTCCCCGAGCTCCCTGCACGGCCCATCCTGTGGGACCCAGAGTCTGAGCCCCTGCCCCCCGCCAGCGGGGTCCTTGCAGCCGAAGGCAGCTACCGGTCCTGCCCAGCCCCCGCATGGCCCCAGCCAATCAGGCCCCTGGCCTTGCTTTGGGGCTGATGCTGCCGCCCGTCCCCATGGGCACCCACTTCACCCTGCTTCTCCGTTAGTGACCTCTGCCAAGGAGCAGCTTCCCAGGAAAGCTGGGCTGGCAGCTCTTGGAGCTGAAACGTGGGGTGCCCCTCACGGCCGCCCAGCTGCTCTGCCTCTGGAACCCCCTCTCGGGAGGACCTGCACAGACAGGATTGGTGGCTGGTGCACGAGCAGCCCACACACTGGACCTGCACCGCGTGGAGACGACTCGGAGGGGTTTCTAGGAGGGACGTGACCTGCTCGTAAGCAACAGAGAGGGCGCAGTGACGGGCCCGGCACTTGTGTGAAGGACGGACATTCTCCCGCGGGCTGGGGGCCTCCTGCCGTCACCCCCTTTCCTGCAGGAGCGGTCGTCACTGTCTCCGGGTGAATTACAGCTTCAGCACAGACGCCGACCCCTCCTGCAGGGCCTGTGTGACCCTGAACCGTCCCCAGGGGCCCGCAGGGGCCTCACCTGGTCCCTCCCACCTGCACCTGAAGGACTGCTCTCCCCCCTCGCAGCAGGCCCCCCGCTTCTCTCCAGTTGGCGTCCCCGGTGCCCGAGCTCTCCCCCATCAGCAGGTCCCCACACGTGGAGCCTGTGCTCCTGCCTCTGCTTCCTCCTCGTCTGTGGGGTCCCTTCCCTTCTGCTGGCCGAGCTTCACCGGGGACAGAGTTCCATCACACGAGAGACCAAACTTAAAGGGGCGGAATTCACGCTGTTCATTCGGCAGAAACTGACACACACCCATCATCACCGACAGAACTTTCTCTTTACACGACCCCCGCACGGCCGGGTGGCTCAGGGGTTGAGCATCTACCTATGAACCAGGAGGTCACGGTTCGATTCCCGGTCAGGGCACAGGCCTGGGTTGCGGGCTTGATCCCGGATCATGCAGGAGGCAGCCGATCAGTGATTCTCTCTCATCACTGATGTTTCTATCTCCCCTTCCCTCTTCCTTCCTCTCTGAACGCAATTAAAAAATAAATAAATAAACCAACACGACCCATTTTCCTGGTGAGCATTTGTCAGCACCCGCTTCTCCCCTCCTGCGTGGGGCCGCTCAGCCCCCCAAAGGGCGCAAAGAGGGCACCAGGCAGCCACGCCCGGAAAGACGCGCTGCTGGTGACCAGCACCGGCCAGGAAGGCTGGTGCACAGCAGCCCTCGTCGCCGACCCGTCCCCACAGGATGCAGCGCCCACGCAGTGCAGGCCCCGCCGGGCCCTCCCTGACACTCACCTGGTCGGAGCAAAATGGCTGAGGAGCTCCCAGAGGGTCTGCCCGGAACAGAAAGTGCCCTGCAACCTGGAGCCGTCGTCCAGCTGCAGCGCGATGCGGACCTGAGCAGGAGAGGAGGCTGAGGCGGGGAGCTCGGCCGCACCCGGTGAGACTCCGCCTGGGTGAGGGCTCCCGGGGTCTTAGGGTGCGGGGGGTGGGGCACTGCACGGCCAGCACCGTCTCCTCTGCACACTGCACGTCGCTGGGCCGCGAGCTGCCGGGCTTGGGCACTGTGTTGCGCAGCCATAGCGCCAACAAGTCGTGTTCTGTGCATTGTTCGTCACTGGGCACGTTGCTTTTGTCCGTCCATTTGTGAGAACCATGTCCCTGGAGTGGGACGTAAGTCTCTGACCCAAAGGGGGGAAACGCCGTTCTGGCCCCTCTGCCGAGGACGCGCAGGAGCGCCGGCCCGGGCGGCCCGGGCTGCTTGCGACTCAGAGCCCGCCCACCGCGCGGCCTGCTGTCTGGGACCGGGGCCTCTGGTTCAGGTACCACTTCCTCCCAACACGGGGAGCTGCCGTGGGAAAAGTGCCTCCCCATCCCACCCACCGAGGGAGGTCAGAGCTCCTTCCACACAGAAGTCTGAGAACTGCTGTGGTCGCGATGGTCGTGGGGTGTCAGGGTCAGGCCCGTGTCTGACTCCTGGCGGCTCTGGAGAGCTGACCCATGCCCCGGCCTGCGCTTCCTGTCCTCAAGGGCCAGCACGGCCCCTCCTGGTGCTGGCAGAGCAGCGCGGCCCAGGAAGGGGGACCCAGAGGGGGCTCCCTGGGGCTGGCTCCCCTGGCTCTGAGCCTCACAGCTGCTCGGTGGGAGGCTGGGCCCAAGACCAGGACAGAAGACGGCGGGTCGCTCCCCCTCGAGGAGCCTCGCTGAGCTCAGCACTCGCCACGGCAGGACCAGGCCGCCAGGCAGGGGCCAGGCTTGCAGGTGAGATGAACGCAGCACCGTGAACCCCAACAGCAACCGCAGCACCCAGAACCAAGTCTCATTCCAACCACCAGAGTAGAAAGGGGCTCTGCCGGACCGAGCTGGCGGCTGGGGTGGGGGCTCGCCCGGCGGCTTGTGCGCCCGAAGGTCACAGCCTACGAGGAGGGCAGGCGCGGTGCCTACCGTGTTCTTGGGCCCCTCGCGGCTGCGGGACGCGGGCACCATCTCCAGCTTGGCGTTATTGGGCAGGTTGGCAAACCTCCACTGCAGAGAGAGGTCAAGCACACTCCTCTGAAACCTGCAACACAGACACGGCCCAGCTGCCCGCGCGCCTCACTCTGCGGCCTCTGCAGTATCCGCCAGGCCCGCACCTGGAGCACGGGATGTGGCCTGGGGCAGAGGCGTGTCCCTGCTACAGTGGGTCTTTCCAGGGACAGAGCAAGCGAGCAGACACAGCTCTGAGCGTGGGAGGCAGAGCTGCACCCCAGGTGGTCCGGCCACTGCATTCCCTCTCCCAGGGGCCAGCTCCCATCACTCCTGCTTCCTGACATCCGGAGGCAACGGGTCTAGAGGACCACAGACAAGCGCAGGGAACCAGGCCGCTGGTGCTGGGGTCTGGGGTCTGGTCTGCGACCGCTCCTCCCAGCTCGCAGCCAGGCCTGAGCCTGAGCGCCCCACGTGTGCGTGTGCACAGGGACCTGGCAGCTCTCATCAGGGAGAGGCCCGTGGGGCCCCGACAGCAGGTGGCCCAGCTCCTCCGATCCCCACCCACCGAGCTCCCGGGTCCCCGCCAGAGGCAGAGAATGGAGGAGTCAGGACAGGAAACCCCGAGGGCAGGAGGACCCCGGGCCCTGCCTGCGGGTCCTGCTTAGCAGCCTGCGTGCCCGCCCGCCCGCTCAGCCTGTTTCACAAGGAACAGTGAGAAGAGCCAGCAGGTAGCCCGGCCACCCAGGGGCAGAGCTGGGACCACAGGCGGCTCCTGATGTCCAGCTTGGACCACATCGGCTGTGAACCAACAGGAGCTGGACACCTGCTCCTGTGATGAGGAGACAGACAGGACACAGCCCCACCCGTGGGCAGGGACGGCGGGCGAGGGGACCAGGGCCTCCTGACCTGGTCCCTCTCCTCCTAAGCCCCGAGAACCACCCCGTGCCCTCCAGAGGAAAGCTCTGCCCAGGGCTCTGAGCCCTCCTCACCATGTGGCCCGGACTCTGAAGAGAGACAGCAAGTCACAAGGAGAGAGAACAAGGGGACATGCACAGCTCAAGTCAGATCTGAGCTCGACTTCCAATGGGAGTTTAGGGGGGACCATGGCACTGGGGAGAGGCCCGTGGAGATGGAGACGACGTGGTTTTATGAGCGTGAGCAGTTCATAGGGCGCAGGCGACTTGGAGAAAGAGGCCGATTTGATAGCCAGGCCGGGCTCACACAGCTCCAGGGCCTAGTGCAGACCGGACGGCTGGTCTGTGGGGAAACAAGGGCAGCAGAGGGGAAGGTGCAGGCAGGCAACACACCGAGGCCGCCTCCCCTGGCGTGGCTGCGCTGTCTCAACCAATGACAGCTGACCCTTGAACAAAGGCGTGAGGGGTGCCGGCCGGTGCCCATGGGGTCGAAAATCCCAGGTATAAACGGTGACCCTCCAACACTGAACTATGTCCCTCTACACCCAACGGGGATTGGGTCCAGGACCCCCTCTGACACCAAAACTCGAAGATGCTCCAGACCCTTCTATGAAGCGGCTCAATCCACGCAGTCAGCTGTCCACGGCGCCAGGGGAGCGGCTGCCCCTGGCCGGCGGCTAGTTGGCGAGAGGGCCTGAGGCACGGAGGCTGGGGCTCCGCCCCAGGCCAGGCACAGCCAAGAACCAACCAACGCTGCACAAGCAAGTAGAGCAACTCCATGCTCCCCCTTCCTCTCGCTAGGAAATTATTAAATAAAAAGAGAAAAGCAATGGGCAGAGGCCTGGGGCGGGCAGGCCACCAGAGTCAAAGGGGACATGTTAGTACTTCCAACAACGACGATGTTTTTCTAAGAAATTAGAAAAAGGAAAACATCCACGTGGAAGTAGACCCCACATGCAGTTCAAACCCCCGGTTCTCAAGGGGCAGCTGCGCCGTCAGCAGGCGAGAGATGGGTAAGAGACCCGACCTTCCGGCGGCTCCACCCGGGCCCCAGCAGAGGGTTCAGGCAGGCGAAGGGAGGAGCGGGCACGCGGCCCTGTGCCAGGAAGCCAGGGGGTGACCCAGCGCGGAGCAGGGGCCCTGGATTCTTGTGGGTCGGGCAGGAGGCCGGGAGCTGGGGTGGCATGAGGGCGTCTCCACTCAGAATCTCCTCTGTAAAGAGCCCCACGCACGACACAGCACCGGCGAGGCCCACGAGAACAGGCTCCCACGCCCCGGGCTCCTCTGTCCCCAGAGCGAGGACGAGACCCGGTGAAGACCTGCCACCTGCGTCAGACCTGCCACCCTGGGACATGCCCCTTCTGTGGGACAGAAGCCCTCACCCATCAGGGCAGGCTCGCATCCTGTCCTTGTATTATTATTATTTTTAAAATATATTTTTATTGATTTCAGAGAAGAAGGAAGAGGGAGAAACATCAATGATGAGAGAGACTCGTCGATCAGCTGCCTCCTACACGTGCCCCCACTGGGGATCGAGCCTGTAACCTGGGTGTGTGCCCTGACCGGGAATCAAACCATAACCTCCTGAGCCATAGGTCAATGCTCAACCACGGAGCCACGCCGGCCGGCCGGGCTCTGTCCTGTCTCAGGCCCTTGAGGACTGTGAATGCCCTCTCTCTGGAAAACGCCCACAGGCAGAGACCTGCGCCAGCTCCCAGGTGAGGCCGCGGGCTTCTCCCCAGGGTGCAGCTTTCTCCCCATTTCTCCGGGACCACGTCCTCGTGCCCTCAGAGCCCCACCAGGAACTTACACAACAGAACGCACGGAAAACCTGTGGCCAGCCCCTATGAGGACAGGCCCCATGCCCTAAGGCCCCAGAGCGCGTGACTGTGACCATATTTGGAAACATGAACTTTGCAGACGTAACTGAGTTAGCATCCTGAGATCACGCCCTCATCCTGAACCAGGGCGGGTGCTCACACCCAGGGGAGAGGAGTGATGTGGCCACGGGTTGAATGGTGGCCCCTACGAGGACAGGCCCCAGAGCGCGTCACTGTGACCGTATTTGGAAACATGAACTTTGCAGACGTAACTGAGTTAGCATCCTGAGATCACGCCCTCATCCTGAACCAGGGCGGGTGCTCACACCCAGGGGGGAGGAGTGTGAGGAGGAGGCAGACAGGAATGATGTGGCCACAAGCCAGGGCAGGCCTGGGGCAGCAGGCAGGGTCCTCCCCTACGCCACAGCCCCACACCACCTGGACGGGTGGCCTCCGGGGCTGTGGGATGACCTGCCGGAGACGTAAGCCCGCAGCAGGGCCCTGGGGAGCGCCGCGTGGACGCGCAGGAGCCGCCCCAGCAAACTCACTTCAGGTCGTACTCGCTGGGGTTGACGCGCAGGAGCCGCCCCGGCAAACTCACTTCAGGTCGTACTCGCTGGGGTTGAAGTCCTGCCGCCGGCACGTGTCCTCCAGCACCTGGGGATGAGACACAGGCCGTGAGCCGCTGCCCACCGGCTGCTGGGCTGGCAGGCCAGGGCCGCCGGGGCGGCTGAGTGTCGAGTCCACCTCCCAGAGGGCCCGTGGGCTCTGCTGGACAAAGCCTAGAAGGCCACACGATGGCCCGTCCACGCAACAGCTCCATGTGCCTCACCCACGAGTCCTGTTCGCTGTCCCTGTCCTCCCTGGGCCGGACTTGTCCCCCCCCCCCGGCTCCGCTGGCCTCCAGCCAGGCCCTCGTCACCACAGACATCTTCCTACCCACACTCCAGGCCCGGCCCCCTCGCAGGGAGCGAGGTCCAAACGTGGGCGCCCCTGCCCGCAGCCAGCTGCACCCCGCCAGCTCCACCGGCCCGGGCGCCCCGCTTCTGTGTCCTGCATGCGGAGGCCCCCCACCCCGCCTGGGGGCGCCTCCCCCCTACACGGCGGGGCCCAATATACATTCTAAAGGGACGGATTCGGGGTGCACCGGCGGCCCCGGGGAAGTGCAGCGAGTGAGTCAGCAAGTCAGTTCCAGGCACAGAGGCCGGCACTTGCAGGCCCGCGGACACCGGCCGGGACCCAACGGGACGGGGACACCGGCCTGGGACCCCGCAGGCCGGACCCGGTGCTTCGGCCTCGGCGGGGGTCGCAGAAGCGCCGCCCCTCGGCCCCCGCCCGCGGCCAAGCAGGGACCCCTGCGCCCGGGACCCCGGCGCGGAAGTGGGCGGGCCCTCTGCGCCAGGAGGCCGCTCATTGGCCGCCTCGGGGCCGGCCCAGCACCGCCCGGGAACAATAGAGCCTTCCATGAAGAGAAAGAATCACTGATACTGACCCTCCTATCATTCCCAGCTTTCGTGGCGGCGATGTGAATCTTTACTGACTCCCCCAGTTGGGTAACCTACCTACACATGGAGGTCAAAGCGAACGCTCATGGAGACTAATAATCATTGAGTGTCATCCTTTCTCTCATTTGATATTAATTTTTGGGGTTTCGTGTGTGCTTGTCTATAAAAGAGCGTGTATCAAAAAATCGTGTCCGTACATAGTTTTACGATGACGGGGGCCTATTAATCTTTATCCAGAAAGTTGACCTCTATTAATACACGTGGTTTTCTTGGGGCTCCTAGGGG